GGTGCATAGCTAAAACTCTCAAAGATCCCCAAATTCTATGATTAAATTCAAAACATAAAAATTGGCTTGGAAATCATTATCCTCAGCAACAGATTAAATTCTAATGTATTTTTATAAAAATATATAAAAATAAGAGGAAACACCGAAAATACAAAAGGTAAAGAAAATGAAAAAAGAACTAAAATATGATCACTCAAATTAGCATTTAAAAATTAACATTAATATGAAGTACCATTGTATAATTTATCAGTTTAGCAAGTGACTGACAATGCCCAAGCCAGTGTGGATGTGGTGAAAGCAGAACATTTATACACTGCTGGTATTTGCTTAATTTGGCACAACCATTTAGACTAGCAATTGCTATGTGTCATATAAATTAAAAATATTACATCCATTATTTATGCCATATTTTTTAATTTGTCCAAAGGAACCAATCCAGAAGGAAGAAAAGACTCAAGTCTAGGGAGATAGTCTTTAAAATACATTATAATGTAAATTGGAAGCTTCTAATTGCCTCATAAGAGATTAGTTATTTCAATACATTTTAGTCTTTTTTTTAAATTTTCTTATTGACTTTTAGAGAGAGAAGAAGGGAGAGGGAGAGAGAGAGAGAGAAATATTGATGTGAGAGCACATCAATCTGCTGCCTCCTGCCCACTTTCTCCCAGGAATCAAGCCTGCAACCTTTCCATGCTCCAGATGAAGCCCAACAGAGCTTCACTGGCCAAGGCCATTTTAGTCATTTTCAATGACAACAAGGGAAGAGTTGATACATTAAATAGAAATGGGGAAGGGGAGAGAATGGGAAAGAAGCAAGAAAAAACATTTAATGGAATGAAAAATAAGGGTTGAACTAGGGCAGGGGTGGGGAACTTCTGACCTGCAGGCTGTATAAGGCCTGAGAAATCTTTTGACCCTGCCAAAGCTACTACAGGTGGGACTCGAAATTCAATAAATCTAGGAGCTTTTTTTCATAACAACATAAACGTATATTAAGTGAATCATAATAATAATGTAAATTTTGAGGGAGAAGCAAGGAATGACCATTACAGGATCGATAGGGCACATATGATGAGTACATGACAGGACAGACATGTATGCTTCTCGTCAGCTGTCCGTGGCCCATATGCCTGTATTGTGGTGACTCAGAGGACAGTCAGTGCCAGGCTGGCTGAGAGTGTACACGCTGGGAAAGTGTTAACACGCTGTGGTGAAACTATAGCGATCCGGTGATGATGGACCAGATGCAATGAGATAATTCCTAGGGATGTTGATGACTTTGCCTCCAATGACTGACAACGATGTTGTTGACTTTTTGTTGACACAGATGATAAATCCAATCCAACCTTTATCCACACATCCATGATCAACAATCCCTGTAAAAACTGATCTCAGATGAAGATTAAAGAAATCACAATACACTGAAAAGACCTCAAGAGTCAATGATACGAACGTTGGATATGTTCCAAATCCAAGATACAGGATTAGAACAGCAATCAAAGCAAAATGATTGCAGTATGGCAACACACTGGATAGTTAATAAAACTTAAGTGGTGTGACATCCTACAAGTGGTGACTACAAAAAAGAGAAAACTTGATGTGCAGTGTCGATCTTTTTAAGAGAAATGGACAAATGATTTTTTTTTGGTTAATCCTCACCTGAGGATATTTTTTCTTTTTCTTTTTTTTAAGAGAGTAGAAGGGAGGGGGACACATACACAGAGACACATCAATTATTTGCTTCCCACACATGCCCTGATGAGGGCTAGGGATTGAGCCTGCAACCGAGGTATCTACCCCTTGACAGGAATCAAACCTGGGACCCTTCAGTTCATGGGCTGACACTCTATCCACTGGGCCAAACCTGCTAGGACCAAATGATTATTTTTTTGTTGAAGTCAAAGACGAACCTATGTGCCCAGTTTGTGGCGATATGTTAGCAATAATGAAAAAAGCCAACCTGGATCGTCATTATAGCTCAAAACATGCTGTACTCAATGCATTGAGAGGCCAAATGTGTAGATAAAATCAATATTCTTCAGTGGAGTTTAGAATCACAACAATCTGCTTTTACTTAAGCCTCCGTATGACAGGGACAATGTTATTCAGATGAATTATGTAGTGAGGGAGCAAGTCGAAAAGAAGCTGAGGCCTCATGTGAGGGAGAGTTTGTGAAAGAGGTCATGGTGGCTGTTACAGAACTGTTAGCACCAGACAAATTAAAATTGTTTCAGAGTGTTAGTTTGTCTCAGAGAACCGCCTCAGATGGGATTATTGACAGCAGAAGGTATTGAAAAAACACTAAAGGGTTTCCAATTTTTCTCTCTGGATTGTGACAAGAAGACATAACAAATACTGCCCATTTGGCCATTTTCATTCATGGGATAACTGCAGAGTTTGACACACGAGAGGAACTGCTGTCCCTGGAGGCCATGCATGGCACTACAAGAGGTGAGCAACTTGAGAGACTTGTTTTAACAATGAAAAAATTTGAGCTAATGTTTGAAAAGTGGCCTTACTACTAACAGAGCTACAGCCATGACTGGCTCACAAAAAGGGTTAATTGCATTTGTCAAGAAAGAACTGAATCATTTCAGTCTCGATCCAAGTGATTTAATTATATGCCACTGCACTGTATACTAAGAGAGTCTCTGTGCAAAGTCATTGAGGCTCAACAATGTGATGTCAAGAGTAGTGTCATGTGTAAATTTTGTCAAAAGCAGAGGGTTTAATAGTGGCCAGGTTAAGGAGTTACTGAATGATCTTGACTGAGTACAATGATCTCGTTTATCGCTGTGAAGTGTGGTGGCTGAGTCGCAGGAACATGCTCATGAGGTTTTATGAACTACAGGATGAAGTCAAGCAGTTCATGGAGATGAAGGGAAAACCTGTCTGGGAACCAATGGTGGCAAGTGGCTGTGTGATCTAGCGTCCATGGTGGACGTTACCAAGTACCTCTCAGAGCTGAATGTCAAGCTGCAGGGCCCCAACCAGCTTCTCAACCCCCTGCTTTCAAACGTGAAATCATTTGAAGCTAAATTAAGGCTTTTGGAAAGTGCAACTCGAAAGGAGCAACACGGTGCATTTCTCCACTCTGGGAGGACAAAAGCCTTCTATGACACTTGAATATGCTGGTGAATGTGGAGAACTCTGAGGCCATTTAAGGAAAGATTCAAGGACATGAAAAGAAAACCAATGGACTTGAACATCTTTGCTACATCGGTTCAATGTGGAACCCGCTGATGTGCATGATAACCTACAACACGAAATCATTCAGTTGCCAAGCGATGATGAGCTGAAAGTTAAGTACAACCACCTCCCACACTGCTTGCGTTCTATACAGGTTCCATAAGCAACGATGGATTTCCCACTCTGAGGAGCCATGCATTGAAATACGCATCTGTGTTCGGAACAACTTTCTGCTGGGAGCAGTTCTTTTCAAAACTTAGCATCACAGAGTCGTCTGCGCTCCAGACAGAACGAGGCAAACCTGGAAAAGCGGTTCGAGTAGCAACATCAATACCAGCTAACACAGTGATGGCGAACCTTTTGAGCTCAGCGTGTCAGCATTTTGAAAAACCCTAACTTAACTCTGGTGCCGTGTCACATGTAGAAATTTTTTGATATTTGCAACCATAGTAAAACCAAGACTTATATTTTTGATATTTATTTTATATATTTAAATGCCATTTAACAAAGAAAAATCAAGCAAAAAAATGAGTTCGCGTGTCACCTCTGACATGCGTGTCATAGGTTCGCCATCACTGAGCTAACATCACAAGCCTCACTAAAGAGAAGCAGGTCTAGCCAACAGACCAGGAGTTAATTACATGTTTGACCAAATAGAGCAGGCTCATTTTTAAGTTTCTAATTTTGTAGGGCCTATGAGAGATGTTATAAATATCCAGATGGCCCCTGGCAGAAAGAAGGGTAAGGTGACTGAGACGTTCCCTTGGGTGGATACCGGAGAAAACACATCTCACAATAATCAAGGTAAGCGATAATTTAAAAAAAAAAAATTGATGTAAAAACATCCTTGATGAAAAAAAATCACCATTTTAAATAAAAACAAGATCTGGCTTTTCATTTGCATCATCCTGAGAGTGCCTCACTAGCCTCGCCCTAATTCAGTGGTTCTCAACCTGCTGGCCCTTTAAATACAGTTCCTCATGTTGTGACCCCCAACCATAAAATTATTTTCGTTGCTACTTCATAACTGTAATGTTGCTACTGTTATGAATCGTGATGTAAATATCTGATATGCAGGATGGTCTTAGGCGACTCCTATAAAAGGGTCGTTTGACCGCCAAAGGGGTCGCGACCCACAGGTTGAGAACCGCTGCGCCTAATTGAAGACAAGGATCCTGTTGTTTAAATTGATTGTCTCATTCGATGTTTTTGCAGATTTTTAAATAAAAAAATAAATAAAATGCACTGAACCGTCATTTCTTCGAATGGAAACCTCCTTAAATTGTACACCTCAGATGAGTGCCTCTACTCACCCTAGTCCCAGCCCTATGTAAAATCTTGGTAACAAATGTGTTAAGAAGACAGTGGTTTGTATTTCTTCAGTGAATAAACTTTACGCACATATATTTTTAAGCCCAAACGGAAAGTGCGGCTCCCCACAATCCTTAACCCTCAGAGCAGCGGCCCAGACTTTGCGAGGCCCCGGGGTGCGTGGTCAGGACAAGGTTGTCAGAGGTTCAGGCAACCGCCTCGGGGCCTCACCATGAAGCGCAAGTTAGCCCCTGAGGGCTTGACCTTGCCTCGGAGTTCATTGTGGAGGTTCACGTACTCATTGATAAAGTTCACGTCCTCTTCGTGCGGCAGTAAACCCGCGCACAAGCCGGACGTCAGCAGTAGTAGCCAGAGCTCACAGAGCCACAGCGTCAAATCGGCCCCTCGCGTCAGGGGGAGCCATGGGACGTACCAGTCCTGTGCAAAGGACCTCGGCGCCTCCATGGTCCACCCGCTGGCCGCGGACCGGCCAGTGCGCATGCGCTGGCCCACCCCATGACCTGCCAATCCAGCTGGCCACGCGGACAAGGTTGGCCCCGCCCCCGCAGACAAGGTCGGCCCGCCCCACAGACAAGTTGGCCCCGCCCCCGCAGACAAGTTGGCCCCGCCTCTTGAGGGGAAGCCCTGCCTGTGTGAATGGTGGGTGAAGTTCCCCCCAGCCTGTTGGCCCGCAGAACTCAGGGAGGCTGGAGTCAAATGGGTGCAGGCTCTTCACTAAACTAGTTAATGTAGCTGGATGTTTTCCAGAGTTGGTTTCTGGTACCAAATGATGCGTCAGCGTTTATTAATAAGCCCTCTGTACAGTAAATGCCAATTGCCCAATAATTAAAATGCCTGAGAAACCTTCTAATTATGCCAGGGTAAATAATCATTCTTCTGTGATATTGATGAAAATTATCCCCCCCTCCCCCATGCTTACCTGTTGACCTGGGAATTTAATGCAGAACATGCTCCTTATTTTCCTCGTAGACTGAAAAATATCCTCTTTAAGGTGGACTTCACTGAGATTTTCTCTCAGTGTTTTTCGGGAAATCACAAAATAAATGGAAGATTGGAAGCTCAACATGTAGGGGTTAAACTAAGGATCATAACATTATCATAAGCTTGAAATATTTCCATATTTTCTCTTACCGGAATTTTATAGGCAGCCTGGAATATCAATAACAATCTTCTCTGACAAAAATGTCCAGTTCATAGTAAGAATTTATTTTTGTTTTAATTTCTCCTTTCAGACAACAACTACTAGTGTCCTACCAGATTTTGGCCTGTGCTTTTTACAAACAATTTGCTCTGGAAAACTTACTTTGAAAGATAGAAGTTCTAGGCACAAAATAAAAGCACACATTTGTTTGGGGGTTTCAGTTGCACCCTTCTATATAATAAACGGGTAATATGCAAATTGACCAAACAGCAGAACGACCGGAAGGCCTGTGGACCCTCACCCCAGCTAGCCCACCCCTGATGGCCCCCATGGGGTGGGCCAGCTGGACTCCACCAGCGCACCATGCTTGATAACATTAAGGAGATATTCAAAATCATTGACACTGGGAAAGAATTTTGCCACAAAGAAAGCATTGTAACCGGTTGGTCAAAATATCTAAAAAGAAATGTGCTTTTAAAAATTATCTATGGTGTACACCAAACATGTCAAACTCACGGCCTGCAGGCTGCATGCAGCCTACAACAAATATTTTTGCAGCCCAGCCAATATAACTGTAAGAAACGTTTTAATAAAATTTTGTAACTTAATTTTTACAATATCATGTTACACATAATTATTAATAACGAACTACAATGTTCACTAATGACTGATTACTATAATCGTGTTGCATTTATTTCCCTTATGTACCTTACACGCAGGAGCAACATTTCTCTCCACTAATACTAGCAGCGAATATTTTAGCAGGTGATGGTCATGTCATTAGTCTTGGACTGACTTGTTTGGTGTGCACAACAGGAAATATTTCGCTTTCGGAGAACAAAAAAAATAGGTTTATTTGCGTTATGCTTATTAATTTGTGTAGTTATTCAGTGTCTGGTAAGTTAATGTTCAAGAAAAAAATATTAATTTTTATTAAAATATTCTATTATTTTATGTTCATAATTACTTCTTTATTTTAGTCCTTTGTATTCAGCATGTCTCTATAGAAATAAACCTATGTTTCTATGAAAATTGAAGCTTTTGTTTGTATGCACCCCACATAAACTTAAACCTGGTTCATTTGGCCCGTGTTAGCCTGTGAGTTTGACATGCTTGGTGTACACAATTGAAAGCAATAGACCTCAGAAGATAGTTTCATTCAGGCCGTTAGTCATTTAGTAACTATTTATTACCAGGCAGTGTGTTCTGGGGTTGACAAGGATTGGTGGACAAGACACAGACTCTGCTTCCAAGTAGCTTACAATTTAGAAAACTAGCAACTCGGTAACTTTATACCCTGTGAAAAAGACCAAGCCTTTCTGGAGAGTGTGATGTCAAGAAAGTAAAGAACACAGGTAAGTGAAACAAAGGAAAAGGCAGGTAATACATATGCCAGGAGAGCAGAAACTGCTAAGAGTATTTTACTGATCAGAGCCTATTTCGGGGGTTAAAATGGCAAAGTGCTGAAATATGGAATTCCTTTATGATGTTGATACTGTTATTAGATTATAAAATTGCTATAGCAAAACACGAGATAAACAAAATAATGCAATCATAGATTGCTAAGAAATTTAGGCAGTTTTACTAGTTCCATGTTTTAGACATATTCTATGACACATCATTGACAGGTGATCATTATAACCTCTGCTTAAATAATTCCACTCACAAAGAAGTCACCATTTCTCAGGCAGCCCATTCTATTGCTAAACACCTCACTCAACAAGTATTTCTTTAGGACCTCCTGTGTGTCAGAGCGACAAATGCTGAGCAAGTTAGACATATCTATCCACATGAAGCTTTTAGTTAAAGGTGTTACAGACAAATCAAACTATTCTAATACCATGTTTATTTCAAAATATCCTGGCTATGTGTAAGGAGCTATTTTATTTTATTTTATTGTGGTAAAATAGACATAACAAAATTTACAATTTTAATCATAATTTAGTATAAAATTCAGTGGCAGTTACATTTATAGTGCTGTATAACCATCACCACTATCCTACGCTATTTTAAATGCTTGTCTACTCATTTAAAAAATAAAATAATCCTTAAGATACAGATATTACTATGTTCATTTTAGAGATGGAAAAGTGAGAAAAAGTGGGAAGATGAACTTTACTTCATTAAAATATAAATAAAGGATAACTGAGAAAGATATTTGGTACATAAATGTCAAAGGATTAAAATACTGATGTTTCATTAATGCACATTTAAGAATAATTTAAAATTCCTGAGAAAATGAGCAGCACCATTAGAAAAATGAATGAAGGAGGTGAACAGGGACCAAAAAAGAAACAGAAAACAAAAACCTAAAATAATGTGGTGGAAGGTGGTCTCAGGAACTAACCAACAGTTTGCTTCTATCCCAAAGTCAAAACCATGAAATGGAGTATAAATCTGGGAATAGTAATATGAAATCTTGGCTCCTAAATTTACATTACTCTTATATTCTTGAGGTCAATATTTATTTAGTATGGCAATATGTATGCAACGACTTCTAGAAATCTTCCCTGAAAGGACAACATTTCCCCAGACTACCTTAATAACACTCAAAAAATATATTTGTAAATCTGAGTGCAGTTTATGAAAATACATTTAAGTCTACAAATAAAGAAATAAAAATTAATATAATTTACTTCACACACTTATTGAGAGGATTATATAAATTATATGCAAAGCACTTAGTTGCTTGGAACATTGAAAATATTATTTAACTTTAGTTATTATTAAATTAAAACTATTAATAAGTACTACCTCATTTTCATTTATTTTGACGAGAACTAAAATAAATTTTTAACACTTAGCATTTTACCAGACATATTATTATGCATTCTTAATATATACTTGCCGAATTATGATAATCAGTGTGTTCTCACTAGCTACAAGGCACAAATCCATTGTGTGCAACTCCAGTTGAGAACCTGATGATTTTCACTAGGGGTGCATAGCTTTCCTGAGGGAGCATCTGCCCCCTGGTGGTCAGTGGACATCATAGCAACTGGTTGACTGTCTGCCTCCTGGTGGTCAGTGCACGTCATAGAGAGTGATTGAGCGGCCTTAGCATATCATTAGCATATTACGCTTTGATTGGTTGAATGGACAACCAGACACTTAGCATATTAGGCTTTTATTATATAGGATAATAAAAGGCTAATAATCAAATTGTCCCTTCAACTGAGAGTTTGATGAGAGTTAGACCAGGAGCGGAGCCAGTCAGCCATCAGCAGCCCTTACCCCTGGCCAGCCTGGCCCGATGGGCCCCGATCAGGGTGGGCCGGCCGGACTCCACCCATCCACAAATTTGTGCACCTTGCCTCTAGTTAAGAATAAGATCTGTTTAGAGTAAAATAATTGCAAGTGATACCAGGCCTCTTAAGATATCCAGTCAAGAGTCTATGGTTATGATCACAGGAAGTAGAAAAGACATCTCCTTGGTTCAGATTTTCTCTTATTGCCAATGAAGGGAAATTCCACTAGTAAGTCAGAGGCCCTCCTCCTACCCAGCCTCTGCTCACAGGTTAAGTATAGAGAGAACACTCTTCAAATAGATATTCTATTTTCTGAGAACTGTCACTACTGTAACAGGGAATAAAGCTTTATACCAGTCTGACTAACCATGAGATAGAAGTAGAATAAAATGTACTAACAAACTGATAAAAGCTATGAACATACTGACAGTTTCCTTATAAGCATATTGCAGGCATCAGCAGTTCTAGTTCTTGCTTATACAAAAAAACAGCCTTGACCACAACTTTGGTTGATGTGGATCACCCAACTGCAGGAATTTGGCTAGCACTGATCAGTTCCATATGCTGACATTAACAGTCCATATTGGGACCAGCAAGGACACTGCCTGCTTGTCCACAGCCCCTCCTCCCGATCTCTTTGTTCTGCTTTCCCTCTCCTTCCCTATAAAAACCCTTGCCTACATTGAGATTCTAAGATGGGTTTTGGACAAGAGTCTCCCATCTTCCTGAGATGTCGGCACTTGAATAAACTTCTTTCCTTTTTTTACCACCATCTGTCTCACAAGTTTGGTTTTCGTGGTGGCAAGCAGTCAAACCTTGGTTCTGATTACACTACTAGCACATTCCTGTAGCAGTGTCAATTTAATACTCTGACAAATATTTCTTCAAAATCAGAGGATATAATTTTGTAAACATTTATTTTTCATGTGGTCTGTAGAATTTCAATTAATCTGATTAAAGGAACTTATATGTGTTTGGATGAATAAGGAGTCTGAAGAAGTAAGGGAGTAATTATATAAAAAATCAGAGGATATTTTAATTAGTAATGAAAAATTTTAATTAAAAATCTATGAAAACAATGCAAGGGTTAGAAAAGGATACTCTATAAATGTCAATTTACCTGTAGCCTATTTAAAAGTACAAGTTGAGGAGTAATTATGAATTAAAATCTTAATGACATAATAAACAAATAGCAATAGTTTACTAAAATGATAATGACTCCATATAGATGATACCAAATAGCAGTGTGATGGTTAATTTTACATGTCCATATGGGTAGACTATGTTTGCTAGTGTTTGGTCAAACACTAGTTTAGATGTTGCTGTAATGTGAGTGGCTCCGTCCAAACAGTTAAGAGTAAAGGCAGAGATTCCCTGAGAATTAGTGCCTTCAGACCACAAAATAGGGATTCTGTCTTATTTTCCAGGTTTTAGACTCAAGACTATAACACCAACTCTTTTTTTAAAATTTTTTTATTGATTAAGTTATTACATATGTGTCCTTATCCCCACATT